AATTGATATGCTAATTGTTGCAAATAAATTATCTTTTGAACTTCTAGTTCACATTGCCTTGTACGAGGATCAAGATAAGATAATGAAAATTCATTCCAACTAATTTTTTTAACCAACTGTTTACTTTCTCCCCCTAATGTTAGAAAAATTGACTTATCGAAATGACAATCAGCAAAACAAGCCTTAAGTAAATCTCCAGTTTTTTGCTCAAGAAATTTTATGATTGATGGAGATTCATATCCAACATATATTCCCAACCTCCTTTGAGCTCCCATCTTTGTGCGTTATGGTGGAGCAATAGGAACATATAGCGCACAACCAAAAATTCTAAGGTGGAAAATGTTTGGTTCCTGACCAAAAATCAATTGTTGGGGAGAGTACTCATGATAATTTGTTGGCCTGATACGAATTAGTGCTGCAGCATGTAGCACAACATGCCCCCAAGTAGATATTGGAAGTTTAGTTCTCATGAGTAAAGGCCTCGCTATCAACTGGATGCGCTTTATAAACAATTCTGCCAGACCGTTTTGTTTATGAAAATGAGCTACAGGATGTTCAACTATAATCCCAATTGACAATCAATAATCATTAAAAGACTAGGATGTAAATTCACCAGCATTATCCAAACGTATTGTTTTAATAGGATTATTTGGGAAATGTACTTGTAACCGAATCAACTCTCCAAGTAATTTCACAAACGCCAGGTTGCGAGTTGATAATAAAGATACATGTGACCATCTCGTTGATACATCAATTAAAATCATAAAATAGCAAAATGGCCCACAAATATCACCATGTATACGTTCTAACAATTGAGGAGATTCGATAGGAATTTTCATTGGTGATGGACTTATAATTAATTTACCTTGAGAACAAGCAGCACAAGAGAATTCTTTAGTTTGAAAAATCTTTTAACTCTTTAAAGAATGACCATAAGAATTCTCTAAAATTCTTCGCATTATAATAGAAAGAGCATGGCCCAACCGGTCAGCAAAATAATAAAGTCATTATGATTAGTAAACTTCTGGTTTCTTGTTACATAATTTTCAATTGTAGTAATATATGTGTAACATAATCCGGAGGAATATGAAGGTAAGTTTTCTAAGATATTTTTATTCCTAACAACAATACTCATAATATATAAGTACTTAATGTTACCTTCACAACAAGTCTCTATATGATATCCATTTCGGCAAATATTTTTAAAGTTTAACAAATTTCATTAGGACTTTGGGGAATATAATACATCATTAATGCAAAATATAGTGCCTCCAGGTAGTATTATATTTGCTCTTCCAGAGCCTTCAATTAATTTTGTACTCCCAGATATTGTACTAATATGGGATTTTTTCAACACTATATGAGAAAAATATTTTCTCTCTTTGAGTATTGAATGTGTTGTTGCACTGTCTGCTAGACATTGCCATTGCTGATTGCGACATCCATTATCTTCAAAAGTAAAAAATTCTAAATAAGAATATTTTTCTTTTATTTAATACAAAAGTAAAGTAATGGACAATAAAATAAACATAAATAGGAAATGCTTTATTGAAATTCATTAAATGAAAATAAAATTCATTACATCAAATTCAAAATATAAACATATCTCTATGGGAAAAAACCTATTCCTCAAATATATTTTCAGCATTAACTTCACCTTCAAGGTGAATGACAAAGAAATCAGCAAAATATAAACTAGCAAATTCAGTAAAACCATTGTCAACAAAACCATGGTTAACATCAACAACATTATTCTGGATGAAATTTTTTTGTCTCTATCTTTTTCTCTGCTTTCTTCAGTGATTCCTGATAGAGATCTGTAAGATGTTTTGGCGTACGACAGATACGCGACCAATGGTTTGTGATGCCACATCGAAAGCATTTGTCACCATCTTTCTTTTTCTTTCTATTCTTATCATCATTGACTCCCAACTTCTGGTGAGTAGTATTCTTGTTATGACCACCACGGGTATTATGACGACTTTGATTACGACCACGGTCGCGGCCATGACCACGGCCTCGAGCTTGTCCATTATTAGGATGCGCTGCTATCGCATTTGCTTCAGGAAATGGAGCAGCACCCGCTGGACGTGACTCATGATTTTTCAGCAAGAAGTAGGACATAAATCAATTCTGAATACTTTTTATATCTTTTTTCACCATATTGCTGCAGGAGCATATTAGATGCGTGAAACGTGGTATATGTTTTCTCTAGCATCTCCACATCAAAGATCTTTTCACCACACAATTTCAATAGGGAAGTGATTCGAAACATAGCGGAATTATATTCATTAACAGATTTAAAATCTTGCAAATGCAAATGCGTCCACTCATAACGAGCTCTTGGGAGAATAACAGTTTTCTGATGGTCATACCTTTCATTCAAACTCGTCCATAAAGTATATGGATCTTTCACCATCAAGTACTCTGCTTTCATATCTTCATGAAGGTGGTGAAAGAGAAAAATCATGGTTTTGGATTTCTCCTAATTTTTGGCGTTGTTTTCAGCTTTGATTGCTTCTTCTAAGCCATTTGAGCTGAGGTAGATCTCAGCATCAAGAATGCAGGACAAGTAGTTCTTCCCGAATATGTGAAGAGGGACAAATTCAAGTTTCGCATGGTTAGACATCTTAATAAAAGAAACAAAAATAATTGACAACACTTACCCAATAGGAACTAGCAAGAGGTAGAGACTCGTGCTGATAACGTGTTATAAATATAAACTGAAGAATAAATCTATAAAGCTGAGAGAAAGAACAAGTAGGGAGAGGAACAAAAGAGAGGGAGAAAGAAAGAATGATCTGTGTATTATTTCTGCTGAGACTGCACTCCTTTTATAAGTATAGTAAATATAGAGATAAGAGCAACTACAAATAACATTTGAATTCTCATAATATCTAATAAATATTATCTCTATACAAAGAATTCTCATACAACTTTACTAGCTTGTTGGTATCTACATTATCATATAATTATAACATAATAATAATAATAATGATAATAATAAATTTGTAAACCATTGCGTGTACTCAGTAAAAAAAAGTTTATGAGGATAAAGGAGAATAGCATTAAAAGTGGCTAGAAAATGCTCGTCTCACCGACAAAAAAAATCGATAAAGCGAACTGGATGATAACACTCTCTTGATTTTGAGCAAATTGGCCCAAGAATCATCAGAAAAAAAAAAACTAAAAAAAACTTACATTCACTAGTGAAAAAGTAAGTTTTAAATTAAAGATTATGTGCGATGTTTGGACAATTAGAAGTCTCAATCAATAGTACTATATAAAAAACGTGGAGTAAAACGATGCCAACCGTGTGGCTACGTAAATTTTGTGCTGATATTACTAATTTTTAAGAGTTTCTCCAACGGATTTGATGTGGACAGTTGCCAACACTACGTCCATTGGTAAGAAAATCGGATAATAATACTAAATACACCCAAGTCAGAAATTCACATTCAGTAATCCAAGCTCAAAAAGCATATACCTAGTAACCTAGATATTGCAGATTTTATATGGTGTTTGTTAAGCTGATTCATATGAAATTATATTTCGTCTTAGATTTTCATTTTTGACATATATTGTATTAAGAGCGAAAATATAGAGATCAACAATCATTTCAGAACAGAAAGTTCCCGTACAGATATTTTGTTCAAATTGAAGGACCCGAGCGTGAAGGAAATACTCCCCTAAAGGTTGGGATGAAATTTATGAATTTTACAATAAACATTCCCGTTTTCTTTTGTTTTTTCATATATACATTTTTTTTTTCCGGATTCCTGAAAATTTAAACTGCTAAGCCAGTGTTTAAATTTTAACTTATGAAAGTGTGTACCAGTTATTTTACAATTTATTTCGATATTTTTCTTTCTGTTGTTATATATTTTTTGACTGATACGTAATGGATAAACTGATAGAACTACATTAAAGATAGGTGAAATATATGAATTTCTGGTAAGGCATTTGATTAGTGTATTACTTTAAATTGTGAAATCGTGGACAAAAATTGAACAAATTCTAGCTATCTTAATTATTTAGATTTTTTATTTAACTAATCCTTGATACTGTTTATTGTTATCAATTATTGATACAGAAGCCTATCGTGCCAACACAAACGGGAAAAAAGGATTGAGAAATAGACAAGAAATTTTTTCTACATTGTTAATTAGAAATCGTCTATTAACAACCGATAATAGAAAGAAACAACATAAATGCACGTGATTAATGTAAAAATAGGTAATTTGTCATGATTTATTTCGAATTTAGTAATGTCATTTATCTTTAAAAGTAGTACATATTATTTGATCGATGATTTTTCAATTTCATCAGAAACCCACTATTAACCAAACAATTTCCCAATTAATTGAATTCAGTACTAATAGTGTCATTACTTCCTAAGAAACTGTTAAGATTTTACAATGACTGAAAGTCACCTTCCAATCTTCACTGATTTGAAAGATTGAGAAGTAAACACGAAGCTAAGGGATCTAGAGGGGGAAAATAGTTGTAGTATGTTCATAAAGCCCACTTTAAAATAAATGTAGTTAAAGAATTATGTGCTACCAAAACATTTGAGGGACTAATAATAATCATGCAAACGGCTATTTGAAAAAAGGACCATAGGTCCTGCATTGATTAATTTCCATTGACTGAGGTTTGTATTTTTACTCCCTCCATTTGAAAAATATAGTTCAATAAAAATGAGCTACTCTTTCTGTCATGGAAAAGTAGTCCAAATTAAGTTTTGAAACTTTAACTGTTTTTAGTACAAATTTCAAAAACTTAATGTAGATTGATTTTTTGGAGTAAAGGAAATATTTTTATCATTTCTTGGGTCGGAGGGAATATAAGGGACCACCAAAGGAAAAGAAAAGGAAAACACAAAAAACCCTTTTCCCAAATGTTTCAATATTGAGTGCTATAAATTAATATGAGGTATGAAGTTTGATTAGCTTCAATATAGACGTCTAATTTATTCGTATACGGGGAGGAAGCCATAGATGAAGATGAAGTCTCTGCTTTTCAGTACTATTTGTGCTTTTTGCTTCATAATCGTGTGTGCTGGTGCAAATACTTCAATTAATAAACGTGTCATCCATGGAGGTGAACAACCCTTGGCTCAAATAGCCATACATAAGACCGTTCAGGCTCTGCGTGATTCTGCATTCATCAAATCCACTCCCTTTCTTCTTGGTCTAAATGTAATGTATTTCCATCCCTTTCTAGTTCTCTCGCCTCTCTTTCTTGCTAAATTGCAGTCAACTAAAATATTGTTCTCCGTCTGTCGAAAATCAAGGTCTCGAGTTTGAGTCTTGCAGTAAAAGTTATTATTAGGTCATATGGATTCAAAAGAACAAGAGAAATTAACAGGCTACTTCATTTATACACTCTAATCACTTGAATGTAATTCGAATACTTTTCAGCATAAGTTAGTGTAATATTACACTCTAGTTTTCATGCGCTAGCCAATGATGGTAAGTATTAACATGACTATTAATTGGATTTTGTTTAGTAAGTGTATACCCTTCTTTTTTCCCTTGTTTTCTTTCCATTTTTTTAAAGTTCTTCTGTCACCAAATCATCATCATGTTGATATATGCCATTAGTATAAAAAAGAGAAAATTGATTTTATGACTTAAGAGTTGTTCAGGATATTACTTGCACTGCAATAGGCACACCTCCTATTAGTGTCAAATCACAATTGTTCATGCGCTTTTTGAGTCCCACTTTGATACAATTGTTTTTTAGTCCTTGAAATGTTGTCACATGGTTGCATTTTATCCTACTCACGAACTGTATGTGTGAAACAACAAAACGAATTTTTTTAAAAGACAAAGTAAGAATAAATTTTTAATATTCTGGAAAATATTTCTGGAAAAAAAGAACAAAGCAAGTACGTACAATTATATGGCATAAATGAGTATCAAGTTAATTACTTTCTCTATCCAAAAAAATCAACCTTGAATATTAAGATTTGTATTAAAATTTTTAGGCATTATGCCTCCACCTCTGTACCAAAATAAATAAAATAAAAAATAATAGCTGAAAATTGATGCCCTACACGACCTTTAAAGAGATTAAAGGCTGTCGTTTTTTTTGTCAAACGATAATCATATGTTAATCAAACTCAACAAAAGTGAGAAAAATCACATAGAGATATTACGATCCGTTTTAAACATCTTTGTCTAATTACAAAGGAGCATTATCCACCAACTTTGTGAACAGTCGTTAGATAGAATTAATTTGGCTAAATCGTGACAATTAGAGTTCCATTTTTTAGGTGAAATGTAAAGAAAGTTGAAAGCGTAAACTATATTTTGGGGGAAGTGGTCTGCAAAAGTGCAAACGCATCTTTCAAGGGAACATGTTGAAAATATGCTGATATATTCTGTCGGCAAAAAAAATTATAGCACTACGTCAGTGTTGAAATAACTGTCATTTTTTTAAATTAAAAATGAATGAGACAATTATTTTTTAATACAGAGAATAATATTATACACTCCCTATCCAAAATTTATTATTTTTTAATATATAAAATTTGTTCCAAAATAATTATTTTTTATTGTGATACCACAAATACAAGAAAATTATTTTGTAACAAGAAGAATAAACTATCCCATTTATTTTTGAATAGCTGGGGGAAAAGAACCAAAGGCGGAAGTATTTCTTAACTTTAGTTTTTTTTTTTTTTTTCCCAATTTCTAATATATAGTCTAGTTAGAGGTTTGAGATTCTCATGCATTGAAACAGTTCTCTTTCGTCTGTATGTATAAAAAGAAATGCATTACTTTCTTATTTGATTTTGAATTATTGTGGCCATTATTTATTTAAATTAAATTCGAGCCTCGAAGAAGTAAACAGAGGCGCTCATGCGCAATATATTGCTTGTCATTTAACTTGTAATTTCTTTGTGATGAAACAAAATAGGGTGCGGATACCGAATGGGTTACTGTGGAGCTTTCCAACTCCGAACCGGCTATTGATGATTGGATTGGAGTTTTTTCCCCAGCCAAGTTCAAGTAATTTAACATTCAGTTATACTATTTCGTGATGTTATACACATTCCGTTGAATCGAAATAATGGTCTAAATCCAATTTTTATTTTTAATACTCCCTTGTCCCAAAATTATTGTCCACTTTGAGAATTCACTTTTAGTACAATTTGAACTAGAAATGAAAAACCAAACTGGACAATAATTATGGGACGGAAGGAGTATATTTTTACTAAAAATAAAAATTCAAACCGAAAAAGTGTTTCCGGGCAGAGGCAGTATATGAAGTGATTGAAGTTTATTTCAGTAACCTGAAGTGTGGCCATATAACGGGCGGCTACTTACCATTTGGGAACCCTCTTGATTAGTTCACAAGTCAACTGGCGATTTGATTGAAAAGGCTTTTTTTTTTTTTAGAAAAATATTCCTTTAAACCCAAACGCCTTTTCTTCATTGTCTCCCCCATCAACTTCATCTTCCTTCACCGCTCCAAAAAAAAAAAAAAATCATATTCAATAATGAAAAATAAAATCCATCTTCTATGGAGCGGGAGAAGTAAAAAAAAAAGAAAAAGAAGAACTTATATAAGTACGAATCAAGTGTAGTTTAGTGGTTCGCACGTACGGGATTCAAGATGGATCCAGATTTAATTTTCAAAAGTGGACTTTCTTTCTTATCATTTTCTTTTATAAATAAACAGGAAAAACAAAAAAAAAAAAAGAAGAAAAGATTATGATGATACCGTAATATTTCCATCATCATTGTAAACTTAGATGTATCTCTTCTTATGGTTTAGCTTAAAATTGTCTTAGAAATGTTTTATGTGAGAACTATTTAATTATGAGCAAAGTCAATTGATTGCAAAAGTTCGGTCAATCAATTGCAAATGTTTTCAGTGCGCATATGTTTTCAACGTTGTGATATTGTTAGTTTTGAACGATAAAGATATGGTGGCTAGTGCTGTGTTGGAGGTCAAAACGATTTGAAGGCAACAGTTCATGTGTTTTTTGGTACATGTTCAACATGGAGGGTACTTTTGTCCTCACATATACATTAAAATTGCTGATGTCGTACTTATATTCTTCAACATTCATGTTGTCGTGTTAAAATTGTATTGAAATAAAAATTCAAATTGAATAATTATTTTGAAAAATATGAATATATCAACAATTTCTCGAGAAATTACCATGATTTGTCTAACTGTTTCTTACTACAATTTCCCTTGTTCTAAACTTGCTTTGTTCAATTGGATAGGACTGCTTTTTATGGACGTGGACATATGAGTTAATTCTATTCGTGCTCTTCAACTTAATTTACATAACTCTTTATGATTACATCACCGTGAACTTAATTTCCCTTTTCTTGTTCACATGTTCCCATTTTTCCCTCTATTTATTCCAGTGAGTCAATTTGCAACCCTTCGCCCGATGAATGGTCAGAAACTCCATTCTTATGCACAGCTCCCATCAAGGTACAGCTCCCCACTATTTATTTTTATACTCTTTCTGCCTTAAAATAATTATCTTGTTTAGATTTTCCACTTTTAACATTAGAACAATATTTTGTAATGGGTGAATGAAGCAAAATTAATTAGCTTGAGGATGGATTATATCTACGAACAAATTACGTACTAACAAAGATATTTTGCATTTTTTTTTCCTGTAGTACAAGTTCGCGAATGACTCCAATCCAAAGTACATCAAATCGGGACGCAACATAATCAAATTTCAGTTGATCAATCAGCGCTCAGATTTTGCTTTTGCATTGTTCTCCGGAGGACTCTCAAATGTCTGTAATGTTTACCCTGCCTTTCATTTATTCTTTTTTTTTTTGTGAAAAAATATTATTCATTAATGTGTTTCTTCTTGAAAAAAAGAAAGATTTTCCATTAATGTGTTTGAGGTCACGATATATTACGAAATCTAACTTCTTTTATTTTATGTATTTCCTCTGTATCAAAATTATTGTCCAGTGTAGATTTTCACTTTTAGTCAAATTATTATCCAGTTTGAATTTTCACTTAGTACTAAAAGTAAAAATACAAACTGGATAATAATTTTGGGACAGAATCAATGTATACTTTTGCACCATATATAAACTTGTCTCTGTGTGCTTGTTATTTAGCTAAGTAAATCCTTCTCTATTGTTCGATTTGTTTGCAGCCAAAATTGGTGGCGGTTTCCAATACAATAGCATTTGCAAATCCAAAAGCACCGGTTTATCCACGGCTTGCTCATGGAAAGGCTTGGGATGAGGTGATTTTTCCTCCAACTAATTCAAATCTCTTACAATATCTATTTCTAATAAATTGATCATTAAATATCGAGTTTTGTCAATGTTTTTTTCTTTTTCCCTCTTTTCATAGATGACGGTTACATGGACAAGCGGATATAATATAGACGAAGCGTATCCCTTTGTGGAATGGGGGACGAAGGGAGATGCTACACCTAAACGTTCCCCAGCTGGAACATTAACATTCAACCAAGGCAGCTTATGCGGTACTCTATCCAACACACTTTTCTATTCCCTTTAAAAATAAGATACAAAGTTTTAAAAGTGGACATTGCAAAGTCCAAATCATATATTGTTATGTTGTACTTCTCGATTCCTTCTTTTCTTTTCTTTTTTCAGACTCATTGATAGTTAATTTTGAGTTCGTTATCCATACTCTTTGTGTCTCAAATGATTGTTTTATTTTAAATTTCACTTTTAATAAAGTTTGAACGAAATTAGACAATTATTTTATGACAAAAGAGGTGATATATATACGATCAATTAATTTTTGCATAAATGTACATAGGTCCTCCAGCGCGGACGGTTGGGTGGCGTCACCCCGGTTACATTCACACAAGCTTCTTGAAAGATTTGTGGCCAAACATGGAGTAAGTTCATTGAATGATTCACGTGTTCGTGGAATGTTAATATATTCACAGTAAATATGAATGTATTTGTGGGTGAACTTTCAGGTACTACTACAAGTTAGGTCACGTTTTGATGAATGGTTCAATTGTTTGGAGCAAAAGTTACAGCTTCAGAGCTTCCCCATTTCCTGGACAAGAATCTTTGCAACGTGTTATCATCTTCGGAGACATGGGAAAGGTGCGGTTTCACTCGGAAACAAAATTCAATAAAGTGTTAATTTGATTAGACTTGTCAGCTAATTGTCAAATAATCTTAGTCGTATGGATGCTTGAGAAATTTCATGGTACTCTTTCCATCCTAAAGTTCATGAGAGTATATTTATATTTTAGTGCAACAAAATAACTTTTATTTTGGGAAGACGAAGCATGCAAGTCACATAAAGAATAGATTTTGGAAAATAATTGGAACTCAAAATATCATTATTATTATTAGTATTGAAACTCCATACGCTCGCTAAAGGTAAATTTATGCGTATTATGTAAAGATAAACATCTTTCGTCCAGGAAAATTTGTAGACTAATTTTTCAGGAGTGAAGGGAGTAACAAATACAAACGAAGTGATGCTGCTTCAACAGTGAACGTAATTAATACCCAATCTTAGGACGGTGAATGTGATATGGAAATTTTTATCACCGACAAACTTTTTCTTCTTTTCCTCAGGCAGAAAGAGATGGTTCAAATGAGCATGCAGACTATCAGCCCGGGTCACTCATGACAACGGACCAACTGATTAGTGATCTTGACAACATAGACATTGTCTTCCTCATTGGAGATCTCCCTTATGCCAATGGATACATTTCACAGTGGGATCAATTTACAGCTCAGGTTGCTCCCATTACATCAATCAAGCCTTTTATGATCGCCAGGTTTGTTGACCTAATATTTGTTAGAGAGAAGATGATGATGAAAATTGACTTCTTTTTTGTGTGTTCCTTGTTAACTCTGAATTTTTTTTAACAGTGGGAATCATGAGCGTACTTGGGTGGATTCAGGATCATTTTTTAACGCAATGGATTCCGGTGGAGAATGCGGGGTGCCTGCTGAGACCCTTTACTATTTTCCCGCAGAAAATAGAGCCAAGTTCTGGTAACATTAAACCAACTAATTTTTTTTTTTTTTTTATTACATATGCCTAAAGAAATGCTATATGATAGATTTTATCTTTTCAATATATATATATATATGGAGGCTGAAAGAGTGTTCATTAATGGCAGGTATCAAACAGATTACGGGATGTTTCGTTTCTGCATAATCGATTCAGAGCATGACTGGAGGAGGGATCCGAGCAATACAAATTCATCGAAAAATGCCTGGCAACGGTAGACAGAAAGCATCAGCCATGGTTGATTTTCGCAGCGCATCGGCCGCTTGGGTATTCTTCCAACGATTTTTACGCTAATGAAGGATCATTTGAAGAGCCAGAGGGAAGAGCGCACTTGCAGAAACTATGGCAAAAACATCGAGTCGACATTGCGTTCTTTGGCCATGTCCATAATTATGAGAGGGTTTGCCCTATTTATCAGGTACAAGAATCAGTTTTGAACTTTTCTCACACGAACAAATTAACATCCTAATAAATACTATTTATATTAATCTAGTAACTTGCTTTTTTTTTCCCGAACAAAAAGTCTTTTATTAATGCAAACTAATGGGAGGGGACGTTCTGCCTGACCTCAACATTACAATTCCAAGAAATAGTGGCATCCACTTCTCATTTGAGCCTTATTTAGAAACTTGCATGCTTAACTTGCATGTAAACATTACATTGTAAACTCAAATGAAGTAACCCTAACTTGAATAAAATACCTGAAAGTAAAGCTACATTGAAATAATATAATTAAAATTTAAAAGGTTATCATACAAGTAATACAGCCTCTTATTTCCTCTTGATTACCAACTTTTATAAGGGTTTTTTTTTAATTTATTTGTTTTTTTTTATAGAATCAATGTGTGAAAGAAGGAACATCACACTACTCTGGGGTGGTAAATGGAACCATCCATGTTGTCGCGGGAGGAGGGGGAAGTCACTTATCCCAATTCACCAAGATCAATACTTTCTGGAGTATCTACAAAGATTATGACTATGGATTTGTCAAATTAACCGCATTCAATCGTTCCTCGTTGCTGTTCGAGTACAAGAAAAGCAGTGATGGAAAGGTTTACGATTCCTTCACCATCTCAAAAGACTATAGAGATGTCTTAGCTTGTGTTCATGATGGTTGCGAGCCTACAACGTTAGCAACCTGAGTGTGGCAAGTTTAACAATTTAATAAATACTCTTTCTTTTTCAAAATTATTGTCCAGTTTGGACTTGGATTTTTAGTTCACTTCAACTAAATATAAAAATTCAAATTAACTGGACAATGATTTGAGATTGAAGGAGTAAACCAGAAATACCTAAGCAACAAAGCACGGTATTGATGTCTCGAATAAGGTATGCATTTGTGACAGAAAATGGTCAGTTGTAAGCGATAATATTGAACTATAGGGTTAATTGTTGGTGATATTATTCTTGTTATTATCCATCCAACGTCTTATTGTCTGATTCTACTTCAATAGTACAATTTATTTAACTAACTTGAACGGAGTAATAAATTGGGACGGAATAACAAGTTGATCTTGTAAAAACATTTACTAAGAACCACATGTGGACAGCTTCTTCAGTATAGACAACTCACCATGGTCTCATCAAGCAGTGTCATGAAAAGTGCTGCAAAACAGATTTGTTTCTAATGACAGGAAATTGATTGGGAAGGGTTTATTTAAAATGTCTACCTAAATGGAAGAAAAATAATTTTTACATATATAATCAAAATGATTATCTTCTCTCTCTAATTTGGTCTGAAGCTCAACTGCCATAAACTTTATATCAGGAGAACTCGAATACAACACTCCAATAGTTTTAGACCTAGATGGTTAAAGTTAATTTTAAGAATTAAGAAATAAAAGAATAGCAATACATGTGGAGAATAATACCCCAATTAGTAGTATTATGTCCACTTTTTTTTTTTTCATCTGTAGCCTTAGGTAGACCCAAACTATTTTTTTATCTGTCACACTTTATTCCTAATGCAGTATCAACTACTTTTTTTTTTTCATTTTTATCTTTGTCTCCTTTTTTATTAGCATGGATAATTCATGATAAAAGACTAACTTTTCTATTAATCTATTGTATAATAAATTCAATAAATTTAGTTAGGACTAATATAGATTTTTTTTTTTTGGGTAAAACTGTGAAGCTTTGTATTACTCTTCAATCAATAACTGAAAACTGTACAATTTTCCTATCTACTACAACCTGCAAGAAGCTTATACATGAATATCAATATGAGCTAGCCATTTTTTATCCTTACTTTTTACTTTCTTGCATTTAGATTGAATGCTCCATTTCACTGTCCTTTTTATGTCTTCTAATCTCACCTCTGCCTTCATCTCTTTCTGTCCGAATCTGCGTTCATTTCTTTCCATCCATACACCATAGATGATAGAATTAATGCCAGCAAACAACACCTTCTGTCTCAGAGCATTTCCTTTCCATAGCCATCTTTGCACATTCAGCTCTGTGATGACATTCCTGATTCCCGTCCAAGTCTTCAAACCCTTCAACAGATCCTGTGCATAATCACATTTAAAGAATAAATGATCTACACTGTCCATTTCTTTCCTAAATAGACTGTATTCTTTGTTATCCACTGGTATGTGCAGGTCCTGCAGTCTCTGAGCCGTGATCAGTCTCTTTTTCCAAGCTAACGAGCTAATAAAGCTGTGCTTAGGGATACTATACTGACTCCAATTGATCTTGGCTGCTTTGCTTTTACTCTTTTCTCCTCTGATCCAGTAATATCCCCCCCTGTGCAGTGTAAGTTTTGCCACCTTTGCCTAACCATTGGCCCTGATCAATGCCATTGTGAAGTAATTCCTTGATCCTCATCAGTGTTTTCATATGCCAACTACTGTCATGTGGACATTTGAAGTTCCATAAATCCCTTCCTTTCAGATAAAAGCTGTGCATCCATTTCACCAATAAGCTTTCTTTGTTTTTAGACAGATCCCACAACTGCTTTCCCAGTAAAGCAATATTCCAGCATCTTGGTTCCTTGAAGTTTAGGCCTCCTTCTATTTTCCGGCAACATAAATCATCCCAAGAAATCAATAACCAGCTCATACCATTTTCTTTTGTCCCCCAAAGGAAACTCCTGCACTTGCTTACTACCTGCTGTATGACACTTTGTGGGATAAGAAATATATTTGCCCAGTAAGAGTTAATACTCAGCAAGACTGAGTTTACTAGAACTGTTCTCCCTGCATAGGAGAGGTGTCTTGAACTCCAACAGTTGATTCTTGCAACAATCTTGTCCACCAGAGTTTGACACTCTACTTTTGACCATACTGTGGGAGATATTGGCAAGCCAAGATATTTCATTGGAAAACTAGCTTCTTCAAAACCAATAATCTTCTTTATCTCCTCCTCTACTTCACCTGTTTTCCCACCAAAGTATATATTGGACTTTGTCAAATTAACCGAAAGTCCAGTGGTTTCTTGAAACTGTGATAGTACTCCTTTAATCCTTCTAACTGTTTCAACATCAGCTCCACAAAAGATTAATAGGACATCAGCAAAGCATAGAGATATTATCTTTTGTTTTTCATAGTAAGGATGGAACTTAAATTACTGTTTCTCATCTTCTATCTTCAAGAGTCTAGTAAGATATTCCATTACCATTACAAATAGTAATGGTGACAGCGAATCACCTTGTCTCAATCCTCTTTTCCCTTGGAAATATCCAATGGTACTACCATTCAAATCCAATGAGTATGAACTGGTTGGCACACATTCCATTACCCAGTGCCTGACTTTATTTGGAAAACTATATTCTTTCAGCATCTCATCAACAAAGTCCTAGTGTATAGAGTCAAAAGCCTTTCGGAGATCAACCTTCATAACAAAGCTTGGAACTGCATTCTGTCTTTTATATAATCTGATCAGGTCCTGTGCAAGCAAAATGTTGTGCAGGATGAGTCTGTTCTGAATGAAAGCACCCTGATTGAGATCAATCAATTCTGGAAGAATGAGACTAATCCTTTTACATAGCATCTTTGAAATGCACTTATAGACTGTATTGCAACACAAAATTGGCCTGTAATCTGTTGCATTCAGAGGTGAATCAGTTTTTGGGATTAAGGATATCAGGGTGGCATTAGTCTGTTTTAACATGGCACCAGTTTTGAAGAATTCCAGCACAGTGGTGGGTTGTCGAAGCCCCCAAAATAATTTACCAACTTAAACTGTAGATAGGATAAGTCAGGTCGATCCCACAGGGACGGTTAAACTTCAAATAACCGGAACACAAAATTGGACAAACAAGAAAGAAAGTTGCAGAGTGTCACTCACTTGCACGAGTGGGTAAAGTCACTCAGGCAAGTGACTCTGCAGAACTAAAGACAAAGAAAGACAAATGGAACCTCACTCACGGGAGTGAGAATTCCGACTCAAGGGACTGACTCAACAAACTGGATATTCATGCTCTTTTCCCTATGTAATCAAGTTGTAATCTTGCACTCTTTTAGTATGAAATTATGTTCATTCAGGCACTTATATATCTCTAAGTCACTTCCGATTTTTCCTAGAGGTATCTTTATCAACTCAATTAAACTATTTTCCAATGATTAATCAAGTCATAAAGTCATGAAGTTTTCAAGCCTTATATGAATGCTTATGCTAACAAGTATATTCCTATCTCAATTAGAACCTTGGACTGTTACCTCCAAGTCATAAGTTGAAGCTAAATGATTCTAAACCTTGTTTACCCTTCCGGGATTCACTTAGTTCTCTGCACAATCAATCAAATGGCCAATTTAATCAAGAGGTAGATGAAAGCTTTAACTTCAACACACAAAATCATCCGAATGCATTCACAAACTTAAACTACATAGGTTCCAGAGAATGAAATCTAATTAAGTACAATTACAAACTACAGAAAATACAAGAAAAGAAGTAAAGCATTGAGAAGAAGCAAATCTGGATGGCTAAGCAACAGGTCACTCGCCTGAGTGACAAAGGTCACTCAGGCGAGTGAGGTCTGTTACTCCTCTTTTTCTGCTACTGGACTTCTTCTTCCTTTGGAGTTTTCTCCCCTCTCTGCTCTCTTCTTCTCTCTCTGTTGTGTTTTGTGTGTTGTATGTCCACTCAGATCCCCCTTCATGCTTGGAATGCAGCTCCTTTTATATAGTTTTGAAGCCGGTTCTTCTTCCAAGATAGCCTCCCCATGCTTGTGAATTATTTATTCCTCCCAATGCTTTGTGTCTTGAATCCGAGAATTGACTGGTCTCTTGCCCTTCTCCAGCACTGGTATCAGCTACAACATTGATCATCATGGGCGGTTGGGAGTCTAACCAAGGGGACAAGCATGCCCTTGGATGGGACACACTTATTAACTCCCAATGTGTCTTGTGTCTTGGAGTTGCTTTTTGACCAACTCAGCCCTCATTTTAAATTGGAATCAGCAGCCCAATTATTGCTCCATAAGCCCCCATTTTCAGCATTTGTTCACTCTGGTCCTCACCTATTTAGAAACACAAAATTAGCTAAGTAAAATGAACAAAATCTAAGAAACACCCCTAATTTCTAACTAATTAAAGAGCAAAATTGCAATGCTTTTATGTAACAATTTAACAATTATCAACTCCCCCAAACTGGAAGAATTGCTTCTCCTCAAGCAAAACAATCTAACCCCTTAAAAACCTCACGTAGAAACAAGAAAACAATAGCTAACCACTGACTCCCCTGAGTGAAAATGTCAATTCCTCATCTTCCTCATGAACATCAGCCTATGCAAAAGTCAGGCTCTACACTCGCACGTCCGATCGACAGTTTGCTTTCCCATTTCCCTAAATTCATAATGTCGTATCCATGGGGTGCGTGAGATTTATGTACCTTAAAATTAAATGGGTAGAAAGAATAATGTCTAGGATTAAAAGTTTAGAAATTTATGTGTTTTTTGCATTTGCCATTTGCAAAAAAAAAAAACATTCGCAATTCCCTAATACGAACAATATTAATTCGGTTTTTAGTTACTTAAACTATCCCAATATTAACAGAAGAAGTAAAAAACATATTATGTTGAACTTTCGCATAAGCAAAATGCGAAACGTTTATATATTTAAATATTTCTACGAACGACACGGGTGCTGTTGACACTTGAAAATTTCGCGTGGAAGAAAAGAAAGATTCGCATATGTCAAATGCG